TATATCTTTACAATCAATATAGTTAAACTCCATGTTCTACAGATAATTAATAGGCCTCCCCACTTGTATTTCAAAGTTTATGAAAGGGGGTTTTGTCATGGACACCTACGTAACATATCCGCATGTCGAAAAGGCCCTAGAAGTTGCGAGTGGAAGTATGGTGTGAGACATCCCTCTAAGAGGGAAGTAGTCCAAAATATCTGATGATTCCAGCCATTTCTTTAACGATCTTGATATTTGACGTGCTAAACATGTTAAAAGTGAGATATTTTTGGACTAAGGCGTCATTCTCAATAACTGTATTTATCTATTAGGAATAAATCTGATTATTTCAAGTCAAATCTGAGTCGCTAAATAACAGAACAATAATGAAATGAAATGCGTATGAAAAAAGTAAATTATTTAAAATGATAGTACTTTATTTTTAAGACATTGCCACTAAATAATAACATTAAATATATGTCTTATTAGTTTTAGATCACAATATCAAGGAAAACAATTTAATTCTGCATGCATTTAAAATATTACCCATTAACTTTCTGACATTCTCTCCCTCTCTCTTAAGAGAGATGTTACATTGTACTTCCATTTTTTTTAAGAAAAAAAAATATGTATATATATACCAGCCATTCCAAGATTCGAACCCGTTCTCAGGTAAAACAATCTTTCATAGAGTCCACACGCTTTACCATTAGACCAGCTCCGACAGTTAAGTATCATGTGCCATTTTATGTGCACATTTTGCATTTCGGATGTATAATAATTTTTTTTTCGATTTTTGTGATTATCAAAAATATGTCTCCTTGAAACAAAAATCGGAAATGGCAGTTTTGAAGAAAAACCCTGTCTCTTTATGCGTATATCAAATTCATTCTGTTTCAAGGAGTTACTTTTTCAGAACAATGGGGATTCCCTATTTGAGAAACAGAAAACTTGACTTATTTTGCTATGTGACTTAATTACACTTCATTTAATGGCAAATTGGAAGTCGATATGCAGTTTCTAAATATTGTTCTACATTGGCTGTATATACCGTTGTATCTGAAAAAAATTTAAGACCGTTTTCTGTTACTTAAAATTTTTCTTTTAAACTGCTACAACTTTAGGGAAATAACAAAAGAACTGCAACACCCTCTTTGTATCCGAGAACAAACAATAAAATTTTTGTTTTAAAGATGCTTTATTTTATTATACAAACATTTAATTAATCTAAATTAATGCAATAAATTTTACCGGTTATTATTTGAACCATGTTAATAGCTCTATGAAGAGATCAATGCATTTTAAGTCGCAGAAATATAGGAGAATGTGACAATTAAATGCACTCAACACAGTAAAAGCAAGCAAATTCAAAGAATTGTGGTCTCCCGCTTTCGGTGTCTTTATTTATTTATGGCATATTGTAAGTGTCTTGTTTGTGTGTCCTGTCTTGTCTATGCATTATACAAAAAAGATATTAATTAATGAATTAATAACAGTTATGGTAAAGATTATAGCTTCTCAACACAGATCATCAAACTTCAAGATCAAGGTCAAGAGGTCAAATATCATTATAAAATCTGAAAGGTCTTGTCACAAGTAATGCACATGTAAAAAAAAACATCACATAGTATATAATCGGAAACGTCTTGGAACAGGTAATGCACAAATGTCAAATGTAAAATTAATGCCATATCTTCTCTCAACCAAAAGTTATAAGCAATGTTAGATTTTTTGAAAAGTAGGTCAAAGTCATTGGATTAAAAATCATAGTACATTTGGAAATGCTTGTCACAGGTAATGCACATGTCAAATATGATTGCCCTATCTTCGCTCCTTCAAAAGTTAGCAACACTGATTAAATGTTTGAAAAATACGTCAAACTTGAAGGTCAAGGTCACGAGGTCAAATATCATAGCATATTTGGAAACATTTTGACACAGGTAATGTCCTTGTCAAATATGAAAGCCATGTCAGATGTCATATAAAAGTAATCACCAAAGTTAACATTTTTAAAAATTAGGTCAAACATGAAGGTCAAGGTCAAGGGGTCAAAAATCATAGCATGGCCAGAAACACCTTCTTATTGGTAATGCACCTGTCAAATATGAAAGCCCTATCTATTCTCAATCAAAAGTTATAAGCAAAGATAAATTTTGGAAAAGTAGGTCAAACTTCTAGGTCAAGGTCACGGGGTCAAGGGGGGTCATAAACCATAGTATGTTTGGAAAGGTCTTGTCACAAGTAATGCACATATCGAATATGAAAACTCTATCTCTTCTCAATCAAAAGTTATAAGCAAAGATAAAAAAAATTTAAAAGCAGGTCAAATTTCAAGGTCACGGGGTCAAAATCATAGTATATTTTGAAAGGTTTTGTCACAGGTAAAATACATATTTAATATGAAAGCCCTATCTTTTCTCATTCAAAAGTTATTACCATTTTAATGCAATGTTAAAATTTTTGAAAAGTAGGTCAAACTTCAAGGTCAAGGTCACAGGGTAAAAAAAGTTATGACCAAGGTTAAAGTTTTTGTGACATACAGGCTGACAGACGGACAGACTGACAGAGGAACAGACAGGCGAATGAGATTTAATGTCCCCTCGCTTTCGCGAAAGCGGGGGACAAAAATTACAACAGCGTTAACTTATTATGATATACATGTTATCTGGTGCATTTACATAAAAATAATTCAAATTCAAAGAAAGTTAACCATAAATTCAAAGTGAGCCAATAAAATTTAACAATTTGTCAAGATTATTTGACAACCACCTATATAAAACCTTTAAAAAAAAGAATATCATCTCTCTCTCCCTGGAAAATAAAATATAAACATTTACTTGGAAACACCCATTTTTCAAGGCTTAATCGAACCATGACATATATAGTTTTTCAGTTTCAGCTAATTCTTCAAAATTGTCCCTGTCTTTATGTATCAATTCAAAACTACATAATTTGTATCCGATTGTCAAATGAATGAGTAAACTTATATTAACGCTTGTACAAAGTTTTGTTTTTTGAAAATCATGGATTTTATTTCTTTTGAACAAAATGTTCTTCTCCTGGCTTGTGAACATCACAAAGATGATAAATTTCAGGGGAGTGGAAATGATTACGAAAAGTTATCGGTCTAAAATTGTGACAAAAAGGAGCTTAATGCTAATAAGAAATTATCAAGATTATATTTACTAGATTTTTATTAGATTTTTTTTATTTGTAGGAATATTTTTTATTTATCAACATGCATCATTTCAATATCTGATTCAATATGTATCAATCTATATACATGTATATGCATGCAAATATGTGTACCATTTTTTTTAAATCAAAAAACAAACCTGTTGAATAAATAGAGTTTAAAATAAACTGAATATATACCGTAAATCTGGAAATTTTTACGTCGATTTATTTTTGCGAATCTGGGTCAAAAGTCTGTTGATTAATTTTTACGTTTAAAATTTTTGCGAATCGTCATTTGAACTAAAATATAAAAAGCTCTTAAAATTTTCTTAAACGTTTGTAAGTTATGCATTTACATACAATAAATTACGAATAAACATACAATATTAAACTATAAACTATATAAAATATAAGAAAAGATAAATCATCCAAAGCGTTGAAAGTTTTCAAAACATTTTTATAAATCACACATGTAAATTAAATATATATAACGATGCAATCTTTAAGTAATCTTTAGATAAAAACATTTTTTGTTGTTGATTTATTTTTAAGGAAAATATTTTTGCGATTGCAATGCATGCGCAAATTTGCTAAAAATTTATCTACAGCAAAAATTTCCAGATTTACGGTAATTTTTATATAATTTTCATTTTTTCTCAATATGGCTACGATATTCATCGACATGTACATGTAGATGAATATATATACAGTTCTTGTAATTGTTTTTTGTTCCTCTTGTAATGAAACCACCCCAAAACATGTACATGTATCTTGTAGACAGGAAGGTAGACACCTTACCTTTGCATACATGTACGTTTTAGCTAAAACGTACGCCGAGGCTAAAGCCAATCAAGATGTTAAGCTTTGCCAATTGCAAATACTAAACCGAAAGCAAGATAAAAGTTATTTTATCGATTTAGGATCAACAGGTGCAAATGGTTGGAAACTCTTGTTTAATAATATGATATCGTAATTCTGAAATAATTGAAATATAATATATGTACGATGTATTCAGTTATCATTTTTCAGTACATAAGAATATGAATTCTAGCTATGTTATCTGCTGCAAAAAATAAAAAAAAGGGAGAAAAAAATATTTATGATATAAATTTACATAAGAATAATTACATTTATTACAGTTAGTTGAAAAGTTTGCTATATACATTCGTCACACTTAATTAGCTTATTTGATAAATGTAAGAAAAATTGTAAATCGTGAAGCACTAATACTTTCAAAATCAACTTTTACTTTGAGAAAAGGAGATTACAAACTATTTCAATACATAACTACATGCATTAACACCAAATTTTTTTTTTCTCAAAATAGGAAGCTGGCACTAATTGCATATGATGTGAGAGAAATTAAATATTGAATATCTCAATGAAATAAAAACGGGGAAAAAACACAACCCTATGACTGCAAAAAAAGTTTGAATTCCTGCATAGCTATTCGATTAACTCAAGGCGAATTATTATTTTTAGCCTATGCTTGATTATCTCCATTCAGAATGAAGCATGGGCCTCCAGTTGGACTGAATTGAGTCCCTTTAACAAAAGATTATCTACATGAAAATCAAAGCTGGAAAAATTAGGGCGGGTGGTTCAAAGAAGAATAAAATGTGAAAAGTTCGACTAAAACAACGACAAGAAAAGCTCATTTGAGCCTTTGGGTAAGATGAGCTAATGAAACTTTAAGGAATAAAGTCGTTCAAATACATAATTCATATATATATATATATATATATATATATATATATATATATATATATATATATATATATATATATATATATATATATATATATATATATATATATATATAAATATAACATTGATGGAGCTTTTGTTTCCTCAGCCAAGCATCTTATTTTATTCACAGCATCATTTTCTAACAGGTGTATCCCTTTTTATTCTTTGTATCCATTTCATAATATTGCCTGTATCTTTCTACCTGAAATACACAAAATATTTTACATTAAAATTAGTTTAAAGATTATTTTGCTTATTTAATCAGTACAGATATATACCATGCCTGTATTGATAAAACCCTTTTCCTGACGCATATTAAGATTTAGAGTGATTGGATGTAACATTTGCATGAAATTTTCACTTCGCTTGAAATTTACTTTTTATACAAGGCGCGTAGTATCAGGGGTTGGGGTGGGATGCTCCCCCCACTTTTTTCTAAATATAATCTATTGCTATTAAAAATGTTCATTGAAAGGCTGAACCCCCCCCCCCCCCCCTTTATGGTAGCATAGTGAAGTGAAGGTAATTTTGTAAATAAATACATTATTAAATTGTATTAATAAAATTTGGTTGTTCATGGAAGTTGGAACCAAACCCCTCAAAAAGGATTTTTGGGTTTTGACAATTTTCCCTTTTCCCTTTTTTGCAGGTAGGTTTCATAATTTTTCTAGCTACCCTTTTCAACAACGATATAGATGGCTTTGAAAACCTGATCTAACTACTTAATTTTGATTTAAATGCTTATAGGATATGGGTTTTCATAAGAAATAACGCAAAAACAATATTCAGTGGATGTAGATATTCATAAATATCTTTCATGGCATTAAAATTTTAGCATGAATAAAGCATTTTGTAAAGCCCTTTAACACGTCGAAAATGTAAGCGGTAGAATCATATTTTACGAATACATGTTCAGTTTCTCAAAATTTTGTAAGATCTTCATAAAATTAACACTTCATATCTCATCATATTAAACATTTGAATTTTCTCTTCTGTCATTTATGAACAAGTAGAAATTTGAACTTGAATTTTCAATCCATACATCAATAAAAACATTGTAACTCAAAATTTGAGCTTTCATTTCAGTTTCAAAACTTAATGCTACACTATTTTAGCTTTGGCCTTATACTACATCTGTAGAAAGAATAAGATTTAATTATAGATGATATAAAATCAAATTATTTATTTCAAATCATACCACCATATGGGTATCCATTCATCTGATTCGGTATCAAAGATCATCTCCTGGTGGTCATCATTTCCGTAGTAATCATTATAGTAATAATCGTCCTCATAATCGTAATAATCATCATAGTCATCAGAATCCTCATGATAATGGGGACTGTTCAAAAGGAAAAGACTTTTGTTATGATCGTATTACATCCCTTTCCTATAAATATTTTTTTTTTTACTATGAAGGTCCCCAATGTAACCTTTTTAAGAGATGTATTCAGTATATATTGTAAAATCTTTATGAATCTTAACAAATGCATTTACATTTAAGATTTTTAAAACTGTTCCATTGCCATAGAAATGGCAAGACAAACTGTTTCTGACAATGAACGAGTTATTTAACGTGTACAGGAACAAAAATGCCGCAATGTGATCATTATGTATGTCTTTTGTATGAGGCGCCGCTTTGGTATTTATTGTCATTTACTGATATCACCTATTCGAATAGGTGAAATTACCTATTTTATTAAATGATATCACCTATTCAAAAAAGTGATATCACTTATTCGAATAGGTGATATCTCCTTTTCGAATTGGTGATATTACCTACTGGATATGAATAAGTGATATCACCTGTTTGTTTTGAATTGGTGATATCACTAGTTGGATTTGATGATATCACCTCTTTGCATTTCTTACAACATTAAATAACAAATACTCCCTTCTTCGAGATAATCTAGCTTCAATGCAAAGTAAAGGACGAAATGATAAAAGGCTTTCAAAAAGCAATCTCATTTCCTTAGCATTGATTCAAAATTGATGAAATTGATAACATCACATCTGTACAAACTTTTTAAAAGTTTAAAAACTTTCAAAAGTTTTAAGTTTAAAAAAAATATGAAGTATTTATGGATTTTTTTATACTTAATTTGAGCCATGAACCCAAATATTTCAGCATTGCATTTATCAAATAAACTGTAGATTTGCTGTAAGATCATTTTTTGGGCACAGAGAGGGGAGAATGCACTGTTTTTAAGTTCCAATGTATATGTACACAAAAAAGATTATAAAACGACCTGATTTGCATAGGAAAAACTAGATTTCCATTGACCCTTAGCAAATTCGGGCTGCCCTTTCCCCTGTTTATTGTCAGAGACATTTTAAACACCATATTTTATCAATCCCCGTGAAGTTATATAATTTTACTTGCAGCCAATTTGCTAAATTTTTTGATATTTTCTCTCTGTTATAATTATCTATCTGAAAAGAGACTGAACTTTTTACTTCCTGTATAGAGTAAATGAATGCACTATTTTCTTGGGAGCAGTTGTTATTTCAAACAAAATGGAATAAGGGATATCACCTATTTAAATGAATAGGTGATATCACCTGTTTAAATTGGTGATATCCCCTATTAGAATTGGTGATATCACATATTTAATTTGAATAGGTAATATTACGAGGGGTGATCAAAAAGTTCGCGATCTATCTCTATATTTACAAAACCACAATACAGATCAGAATGAAATTGGACACACATATAGTCATACAGATGTTCTATAAATAGCAGATGTTAAATAATGTTTTGCTCCGTGTTTGTGACGTCACAATGTGAAAATGACGTCAATATGTAGGTCACTTGTGACAAAAAATGGTTGACTCAGTCGTACTCGAGCAACGAACGGCTGTAAAGTTTAACGTATATCTTGGAAATGCCTTTGAAGTAGAATATGATAATTTGTACAAGGTTTATGAAGACAAAAAACTTGCCAGAAGTTCAATCATAATTGGATTGAATGTTTTAGGGAAGGTAGGGAGATGGTTAAAAATTATGTTTGTTCTGTTGCGCAGCGAAAGTAAGCCGGTAAAAAAATTGTCCTTAGTTGAGCAATTTGTTAGGAAAGATCGCCAAGTTACAGTAAGAAAAATAGTTGAATATCTGAGCAATAATACATTTATAAAATCCCTAAAATATCGTTTATTTCAGACTTTAAACATATGAGATATGAAAAAAGAAGGCACCCATACTTTTTCCACATTGGATAAACGAAGCTCCCGAGACAGAGGACTCGGGTTGTGGTGGTCACCATACTAATTCTGGGAAGGGATATCCTTATCCACCCATCCTATTGCCGAGATTTGGTCATTTCTGACAGATTATCTGTTCCTGTTATAAAAAATTACTTGCATGGTAAGAAATATAAGACTCGGAAAAATCTCTTAGCTTCTGTAAACGGACCGCTACAAAGCATGTCACGTGACCGCCTGGATGACGTGATTCGCGCATGGGCAGAACAATGCCAGTTGTGCATTAAAATCGGAGAGGACTATTTTAAAAAATAATGAACACTAAAACCTCATTTTATTTCTTTTAAGGTAGTAATTCAATTAGATCCCGAACTTTTTTTACCATCCCTCGTACCTATTCAAAAAGGTGATATCAACATTTCAAATTAAAATATATGATATTACAAGTTCGGAAAATGATATCACCCATTCAAAAAGATGATATCACCTATTCATTTTAAATAGGTCATAATACTTATTCGAATAGGCGATATCACCTATTCAGCTTTTTAATAGGTGATAGCACCTTATGGAAAAGGTGATATCACACATTCAAATAGGTGTTATTACCTTTTTGATTTGAATTGGTGATATTACTTATTCGAATATTCAAATCAAATATGTGATATCACCAATTCGAAAAGGTGATATCACCTATTTAAAAGATTATATCACTTATTCATTTTAAATAAATGATAATACTTATTCGAATAGGTGATATCACCTATTCAAATTATTTATGAAAGATCAACTGCTCTCAAGGCTGTACATGTACTGCATGCATTTACTCTACACAGGAAGTAAAAAGTTCAGTCTCTTTGTACATAATTATAACAGAGAGAAAAAATCAATAAATATAGCAAAACTGACTGTAGGTAAAATTTATATAACTTCACAGGGAACGATAACATATGGTATTTTAAAATGTGTCGGGCTAAAACACAGGGGAAAAGGGCAGCCCGAATTTGCTAAGGGTCAATGGAAATCTAGTTTTTCGTATGCAGATCGGGTTTTTCTATGGGTTTTTTTCTGTGTACATATATATTGTAACCATAAAACAGTGTCCCCTCCCCTCAATGTGCCAAAAATCAGCAAAACTACAGTTTATTTGATCAATGAAATGCCGAAAAAGTAGGGATTATGGCTCAAATTAAGAATAAAAAGTCTATAAAAACTTCATGATATTTTTAAAAAGTTTGTTCAAGAGTAATGTAATCAATTTCATTAAATCGGAATCAATTCTAAGGAATTACAATTGCTCTTGAAAACCTTTTAAAATTTCAGCCTTTACTTAATTTGCATTGAAGCTAGATTGTCTTGAGGAAGGAGCATTCATTATTTAATTTTGTAAAAAAAAAAATGCAAATTGGTGATATCATCAGTTCAAATTGGAAGTGGTATATCACCTATTCAGCTCGAATAGGTGATATCACCTATTCGAATAAGTGATATCACCTTTTCGAATAGATGATATCACCTGTTTAATTTGAATAAGTGATATCAACTATTTGAAGAAATGGCAATAAATACCAAAACGGCGCCTCATTGGGGATATCACTTAGTGGCGGTTAAATACCAAAACGGCCCCTCATACCATTACTTGCAATAGCATACATTCTAGTCTTAATCTTTTTTATCATTTGTTTCTTATTTCGATATTTTACTGATTATACATGTATATGTTTATGGCCAATTAACAAACAGGATGGCTTTCTAAAACATCAAGTAATTCTTTTTATTCAAATTGTAAGGAACTTTTGCTATATGTCCGAAAATTACATTAATGTACACTTTTAAAATCATTGACTTAAAAAGTAGGCACTCCGACGCAACTTAACCGGTACATAGATATTAAAAACAATTCTCTCTCTCTCTCTCTCTCTCTCTGGATAATATAAGGAAAAATGAAAAGAAATCTTTTTTAAAACATTGATACATTAGTCAAATCAGTATGGAAGCATTTTTACATAGCTACATTGATGTCGATTAAAGTTGTCAATTTATCATAAAAGACATTTGAAACATTTAATAAAAACAACAGATCATCGCTGTATCTTCAATTCATCTCAGATGAGCATTTTGATCCAATAGCCTCTTGATTTTTTAATTCTTAATTTTTTTTTTATCCAAAATGAGAAATATATCCCAAATAAAATCTACAAGGGGGTCATAATTCTAGGGGGGTCATTTTTTTTCACGTAGGGTATGCAGATTTTAAGGGTGATGCCACTTTTTCTACTGGATAAAAGGTCATTTTTCGACGTTGAATAATGACCGGGGGTCATTTTTCGATGTCAAATAATGACCCCGGTCATTATTCTATGGGGGTCATTATTCGTCTTGACACCGGCTTTAATTAATTTGTTTTTGTTTAAGGTACCTTGCGAGAGTTCTTCACTCACATAAGACGTCACCAATTACCGGTGAAAAGCTTTCAACTGCTAGATTCAATGTCTGCAGGCCTAATTATGACTTATTACCCAATACTTAATTTCAAACATCAATATAAAGTAGAGATGATAGACTTTCGATAAATTTTAAAAACTGTAGTTCTTTTGAGAATGCAAGGTATTATAAAATAAGTTTTGAAAAATTGCAATGCTAATGAATATCATAAAAAAATATAATTGGTGTATTTAAGTGCATTCAAAAAATTAAAATGCACATCCCTCGATCAAACGATAAATAGATAAACAGATAGATAAATTTATTAATAAATCATGATTTATTAACTTAAATATTAGTTTTATCAATATTCAATGTATACTTATTCCTTTTTTGACGGTTGGTTGTGCTCTGTTTGAACTAAAAATGCTCAGGTATAAGACATATTAAAATGATCAGTAAATTGAAATTATAACGCAATTTATGAAGCCATAACACACAGAAATTACGTCATTTTAAATAGAAATGTGATCACATAAGATCCAAATCATATTGAACACGTTTTCACCTAAAAATTACCAGATTTGAGATTTTTCGGACATTTTCATGACCCTTTGTGAACCTTGCTCTATAGAACCTTACTCGGCTTTCACGGCGATTAAGCAGTGACAAGGTTTTGTCGGGTGAAGGGATGGCTTAGGTGCTATTGTATCTCTCCTCCCCACTTCAAAAAATAATCGAGCATATAATTAAAAAAAATAAAATCATTTCTAATCTGTGTAATGCAATGCTGCTAGATTTTGTTAAATATACGAATGAAGCAACAACAAGTTTAAGAATACATTAAAACCCACCAACATCTAGAACCCAAACAATATTGGTCGTCCGCGTGATGCACTGGTTAGAGCGTCTGCTCTATAGTCACGGAGTAAGGAGTTGATCCTTACGTCGCGGGTTCGAATCGCGTGGAGACCGGTTCTTCGGATTAAAACGTATAAACCGAGATCGCGTGTCGCAGTAGATGCTGACAAAAAAAAGATCCCTCACTGCTCAATTGCCATGAGTGGTCTAAATTTGCAGCCCTACACCGGCAAGTGTGACGTTTCCATACGAGTGAAAAATTTTCGAGAGGGACTTTATTCAACAACAAAAAAAAAAACAAACAAAAAATAAATAAAAAATTAAAAAAAAAATTAAATTCTGGCTATGAGGAAGGGGTATCCCTTCCAGACCCTCCTTGCAACCAATTTTCAAGATCCTTGTGACGGCCCCGAGTGATAGTTTTTAAGCATGTCGACGACTACCGTTTCGGCAACCTACATTTTTTAAAAACCTGATACCCAGAAGATGAGTGTCTTTCACTTCTCTTGGCGAGCACTTGTGGAACGAATTCCACCTATGCTCTGAGTCTTATTGAACAAGAATCGAACCTGGATCTCCCAGTCACGAATCCAGGGTCCTTTCGCGACTGGTTCTCAAAGTTTGAACATTTATCTATGTTTAATAAAACAAAGCAAAGTCGCATTCATGTAAGAAAAATTATTTGATATTATCAAGAAATGATCAATTTTTATTTTGAGTCTTCCAAAAGCAAGTTACATATACCTGAGAACATTTACAACCACTTCCTCCTCCTTTGGGCATTCACGATCTTCAAATTTCAGAAAAGATTTCAGTTTTGTTGGAATTGGTAAATCTTCAATTAATGGCAAAATACTTTGACCATGAGATGAAAGCTGTTTTCGAATTCTACATCTGCAAAGGACTTGTAGAGTTGTTGGCTCATTCTCTATTTCGTTTAAAACATCTGTAAGAGTTGTCCTGTTTTCCTCAGTGATTCCTATTGTATAGCTGTATTCGTCGACGTTAAAACTGCAGTTAAAATGTTCTTCATTTTCAAATTCTCTGATCCAACTCTTTTCTGTATCTATGTTCCAGCCACAGCGCATCAAAAATTTGATGGATTCAAATAATCCATAAGATGCAAGGCGTCTTAGACATTTCAAAGGAAAAACTCTGAAACAAAGCAAATCCATCTTTTTAGATACATACGATAAATTTCTTTTTTTAAAATCCCGAATTATTATTTAGAAATCAGATCAAAATTTAAAGCAACAACAAAAAAGGGACATTAAAAATATTCTGGAAATGAAATTCTGCTTTTTGTGAGAAAAAGAACTGATCGAGACCCATAAAGCCAAGAAAAGTTCTACAGGTATCTCTCACAGAATGTGCACTTTGAGGCTTACATCTTATTTAAAACATTGTGTTAAGATTGGACAGTATAAGGTAAACCTTTTAACAGAGATGTTGCCTATTAAAAATTGTTTTTGTAATGTATTCTATCGGATAAAGCTATTTTTAAACTATAAAATCTGTTTCTTTGGTACATTTACTTGACAGTTTGATGCATGGTTAATCACTATTATTACGGATATATCTGATGGGAAAATGGTTCACACCACACCAGGAAATATGTAGAAATCAGGGGAAGATTCTATAATTCTCTGAATCAAAGGATCCAGATAATTTGATACGAAACGGGTTATCTAAAAATACGGAAGCTAAGTACAGATCTTACACCTTTTCATAAAGTACATGTACCTCTAGATATAAAAATGATATTCAGATAAAGCAAGGAAATATGATGTGATGTGCAATAGCGAAAATCATGTCTCATTTTTATTTATCTATTATTTACAAGTCTACCTGATCATTAAAGCGAAGAAAGTACTTTTTGTATTATAAAATAAAAAATCTTGCACAATTCTCTTCTATTGAACTTTCAAATACATTATTTACAGTGATTAATTATCAAAAGTGAATGGAAAAGGGGAATAACTTCTCTGAGTAGAATACAAATTAATGGAGCCCTGCCCAGGACCAGAACACTTGACCAAACGGTCCAGATGTTCAAATTCTGGTAAAAATATCCTTGCTATTTAAAACTTTTACTCTGTTTGTCTCCGATATGCCCAGAACCAGAGAAGAATTTCAAGGTACAATGCATTTACACTATAGATTCAACGCAGCCCTACCCTAACACCAGAACCCATGACCCAGGGTCAAGAAATTCACAAATTTGGAAGAGGTACCATCATCATCATAACAATGCACTTAGTTGAAGACTTTCAAAGAATTAACACATTTACACTATATTATCAATAGAGCCCCACCCCATCCCCCTCCCCTGTACCCTGGGAAACACCAGTTTTAAAAATCTTGTAAGAAGCATCCTTGTTCATCATAACTATGCATTTTGTTTTATCTGCTCAACACTAAGTAGCAGACATTATTATTCAATAGAATCAATGTAATTAATGCATTTTCACTACATTATCAATACAGCCTCACCCTTACACCAGAACATCTGACCCACGGGCCATGAAACTCACAAATCTGGAAAAAGCACGCTTGCTCATCATAACTATACACTTAGTTTCTTTGCTTTATAACTAGAAGCAGAAAAAGTATTTTCAAAAAAATTATGCTTTTTCACCATATAATCAAAAGACCCACCCCCCTTTTCACCAGAACCCCCGACTCTTGGGCAATGAATTTCACAATTTTGGAAGAGGAAGCCTTCACTATTATAACCATGAACTTAGTTCGTTTAAATAATCTCAAGGAGTAGAGAAGAAGATTTTCAAAGAATTAATGCAGTTTCACTATTTAATCAATAGAGCCCCGTCCGAACACCAGAACCCCTGACCCAGGGGCTATGAAATTCACAATTTTGGTAGAGGCAGCCTTCCTCATCATAAGTATGTATTTAGTTAGATTGTTTAATACCCAAGAGCAGAGAAGAAGATTTTCAAAGAATTAATTCATTTTCACTACATAATCCACAGAGCCCCTCACTAACACCAGAACTCTTGACCCAGGGGCTAAGAAATTCACAATTTTGGGCGAGGAAGCCTTCCTCATCATAACTATGTACTTAGTTTGTTTAATATCAAGGGGAAGAGAATAAGAATTTCAAAGAAATATTGCACTTTCACAATATAATCAATTAAGCCACGCCCTTACACCAGGACTCCTGAACCTTCCTTATCATAACTATATGCTTAGATGGTTTGTTTTATACCCAGGAGAAGAGAAAAAGATTTTCTATTGCACTTTCACTATATGATCTATGTACACCCGAACTAGCACCAGAACCCCTGACCCTAGGACCATGAATTTCACAATTTTGGTAGAGGGTTCAATGTTTATTACAATCATGCTAACAGTTTAGCTGCTTGATGTCCAGGAGTAAAGAAAAAGATTTTTAAAAATTGCAGGGACCACGAATTTCAAAATTTTTGTCCCTCTTCAACCATATATGCTTTATACCAAAATTTGTTGAAACTGGTTTACGGTTCCAGAGAAGAAGCTGAAAATGTTCAAAAGTTTACGACCGTCGCACGACGCACACAGGACGACGACGGACAAAAACGGATAGCAATATGTCACCTGAGTGACTCGGGTGACCTAAAAATGCAGAAGAATTTCCTTAAAATTTAATTTATAAACATGAATTGCGAATCTTAAAAATATATGAGGAGTTCCATGAAATTCATTGTGTCAGTAAAATTAAAACGTTTCTGTTTGACCTTTTTCTTTCTGTTGTTTTCGGTTTAACTGGTACTAGCTAATAAGTTAAGTAAATGTCCAATAAGTTACATAATGGAACATATTTCCTAACTTATTTGACACATACAGATAACTTATTGGATTGTTATAATATTTCTAAGGGCCCTCAACTGGAAATAACAATTGAGATTGTTATTTCTGGGATTACATAACTAACATGTTTTAAGCCAGATGTCTGGCAGGCAAACTGATAATAATGAACAGTGTGTCTTCCATAATTTTTTTTTACAATTCAAGGCCCCTTGGAAAAGAGTTCAGGAACTAGGACTAAGCTAAGCTGGTCATATACTGAGGTAATTTTTATACTCTTATTTATTTCTTCTTGACATCCTAAAGAGAAAATCGTTTTATTCTATTAAAAACATTTACGGATTCTAATAGTTTTTGTAAGACTATTTTATCGCTCTTGTTGTAGGCTTTTCCCCCTTAGGAGACCCCTTTATTTCTTCTTATCATTAATACACATGTCCTCAAGATAACGTCAGTCTCCATCTTTACTTTTGGTTGTTATCATTGTTTACAATTTTCTATTGCTTCCACCCTCCCCATCTCCTTATGTAATAAAAGTTTTTCAGTGTCGACTTTGATGTTGCACTATTTTGATACTGTTTAGATTTGAAATACACATTATGTTTAATGTACATTTTTTGTACCATGAAATATGGAGATAACGAACAGTATTCAAGCTCAAAGTCCATTCAGACAACACAAATCGGGAGCAGAGGCAACACGGACCTCAGAAAACATCAGAGGTGGGTTTAGGTGCCATGGAGGAGAGAGTAACCCTTGCCGACCGGTCACACCTACCGTGTGCTCCTTGTCATAGTCGGGAAAAACGGAAAATCCGTAGACAATTCATTGTGTAAATAATGGCCTAACAATCAATATGAAAAACGTCACTAAGCATTTGACTTAATGATAAGTTGTATTAGCTGACAAGGTCATTGTATCGACCATAAAACATGTGAAATGATGACTTCAAACGAAACTGTTGATATCCTTGTTTCATCAACTTGTTTGTCAATAGCTTGCCTCGTTTTAGAAATTGTTCATAGGTAGAGTATGCTCTTGCGTATTGAATCTACTGGGAGACAAGAAACCCATATACAGGTGATAAGGGAATATTGCTACATAAGTAAGGGAAATTGACGATTGAAAAATTGAAGTCATCACGTTTATCATAAAGCTTTGTTGTTAGGTTACCATAAAAGTCTTTTTGTAGTAAAATATCCAAATATGAAACAGATGTGTCAGACTCTTTGGTATCTTCTATTTCAAGCTCACTGGGATATTTCGAATGGAAGTAACTATTGTTAATTGATAATACGTCATCGATATATCTAAATGAGTTGAAGGCCATAGCAGGTATTTTCTTCTTCTCATGTAGAATAAATTTTGCTACATATGAATAACAAAATAAGTCTGTGTAACGGCATTGCATAATATTGTTAACTGTTGATTTTATGATGGTTTTTACTACACGTTTTTGTTTATATTACATACTGTGCTTGATTGTGCTTGGTATTGTCAATTATACTATGTTTTGATATATTTTTGTTGTTGCGTCATTTATTAAGTAATAAATGACCATTCAACTTCCAACTTTGCATTTTCATTTGTGTCAAACAAAGTACCTCCACATCAGGTATCCGTAAAAACATCTTTATAATTATGGATCTTTCGCTATCTGTAAATGAAATTCACAAGCCATGGGTCCATGAATTATGCTCTAAGGTGAATAATTCTATTTTAAAATGAGTCGTGTTAGTAATAAACATTTTTTCCCAAAATAAAATGTGAAAGTAAAACCTTTCTGAATTCCTGGTTAAGGCATCCAGAGCCAAATATTGTTCTATTATATACAATTATGGACTCTTTTGGTGGTGAATATGGTTTGTTATTCACCAGAAAAAAAAATCAATATTGACCTCGGCTTCGCCTCGGTCAATATTGATATTTTTCTGGTGAATAACAAACCATATTCACCACCGAAAGAGTCCATAATTGTTTTATTATATAGTCCGGATTCGAATAAATAAGACATTGAAGGCTGTATGATGATACCACTTCCATTTACGAACTTCTGTCGTAGAAATTTTTTTTAAAAAAATTACAAATTATAACTTTCGTGTTTTCCTTTTGCTGTTTGTAAGACGTCGTAATGTTTAGAAAATAATCCTGCGATAGGCTTGGCATATGTTTTCCTGCTCAGATACACAGCTGGCTCCGGCCGTTGTAACCATTGTTTACAACGTTGTTTGAGGTGTTGATTGTGACGTCAAAATGCCGCTGCACGCGCACCGACCCTCCGGTGAATACGGCTTCAAAACCAGTGAATATGTAGTGTTATGAACTGTTCGCGTTTGTATAGATTATAAATAGACTATATAATAATAAAAAATATTGACAATTCTTTAATTCCGGGAGTCTTTTAAAACTGTACTGTGATTGTTTACCTTCTCCTTCGTAAAACATCCAAGTGATAGATGCGAGTGGTGTAATTAGAATTGAAAAAAAGTCAATTTGAAAGAGAATTTTACAGACTTAATCTAAGCAATAGACTTTTCAATAGTTCAAAAGGCTAGCTTCCAGAACAGCTAAACTTTGTGTTCTATTTGTCCCTGGGTAGTAGACTATCATTATTGTTTTTTTTTAATGCTTAGAAGTATTATGTAGAAATACTCATTATTTTTTATGGCTCGTCGACCTCTTGTTCAAAACTCGAAATGGTGATTGTTCAGGAGCCAGTGAATTAGAAAGGAAACCACCTTCGTCATTCTCAAAAGGCTGCCAACAATAAATAACATATTTCATTACCCAGGCTGTTTATTCATCAAATCTGCCCCGGCAACGAAAAGTTGAAAAACGCCCTTTACGTCAAACGTGAGATTATGTTGATGCATGCTGGTGTAAGTTTTGCTACTAGTTTTTCCAAGGGCATCAATATGATCGAAGACATTACTAATGTCCAACTTTACAGGATATTTTAGGAGTATTCCTAAACATCTAAATTCTCTGTCCCTCATGCCTGCAAATAAAAGCATTGACACACAATCATTTCACGGATTCACTTTTGAAATAAACTTAATTGAATTGTACCATCCTTAATGAAAGTTTCAATTTCATATGGTTTCCAACGGCATCAAAATACTCTACTCATGAAATAAAGATTTTTAGTGATTTTATGATATCTAACTTTTCTATATTATAAAGTATGAAGAACATAAAATAAAATTTGACTTCACACAATCTTTTTGCAAAGATAATCTCTTCCAACCACCTCATATCCACCGTAGGGAGGAGTAATTATTATTTCTGCTTTTATAAACACTTTTTTCTTACTGTATATGATCTTAGATATAAAAAAAACTTACCTAACTGACAAGCATAATCCAACGGAGACCTACATAAATGGTCAATAAAGTTAGTATTGGCACCAACTCTTACTAGTTCTTCCGCCAATTCAATACAATTTCTCTCGATAGCAACTGAAAGAATGGATTGTTCTTTTTCTGACATTTCGTTTGGATCAGCACCACACTCTAACAATCGTTTTCCTAACTTAAGCCACATGTCATCGTTTGAAGCTATCTGCACCATAGTCCATAAGCAGTTGTCACCAGGTTTAGCTCCAAAGTCAAGAAGATGAAGAGCAGCTTTGCATCTCGAACCTTTGATATCAGAAAAATTTATGCATGTCAGCTCCAACAGAACTCCAAATTATATACTACCTAAATCTGAATGCAGCATGTTCTGATGAAAAAAGTAATTGTGCATAACTTATACTGATGAATTCATGATAGATACAAATAATATCTTTGTTTTGTTTTGTTTTTGTTTTTTTTTTTGGGGGGGGGATGTCTTAATTAATGTTAATAACACCTTCACGGAAGAAACTGATGCCTGATACTTGCGATATGTACATCAATTTGAAATAAAGATATATAAATACAGGTGCCCTCAAAATATTCAAGTCAATTAAGGGTATATTCGTCATCTGCAATCATCATCGATGCATGATTGGAAGATGAATGCAATCATGTCTCTTAAAAAGGACTTTGGAATCTAGTCCACTTTATTTTTGACTACGTTTTGGCTTAGTTAGCTACAATTTTTTTGTTACGAATTCAAAATGCCATTTCACGCAAAACCTGTTAATTGTGAAGGATTAGGGGGAAACAGAAAATATGAAGAAAGATCAAATAAAGTTGGTTTTTTCGAAGTTTATTCCTCTATTTTTACATCACAGTGTACTCAGATATACTTGTATTTATATATTTTGCTGAATTATAGTAACAAAAAGGTTACCAATATAAGCAGCATCAAACACATTGTAATATATCAAATGCTAAGTTTTAAACAATGCTCATTGTAATGTTGAATGTTTTATTCGATCCTCTTCTTACAAGAGTCTGATAGGCTACATATATTGTATTTCAAAACTATGTGGACCAAAAATGTGAGGATGAATTTCGTTTATATAACACATAGAGAGAGATTTTGTATCGAAGCGTACATGCCAATCTAGGAAGTTTCTAATTATATTTATTGACGTTTAATCAAAAGATCTCAGATTTCAGTTTGAAGTCACTGTGCTTTGAGGTTCCGATTCTTTTGATCTTTTTTTTTTTTTTTATATTTTGTTGTTTTTTTTCAATTAAGTCGAAAAAAGTTTTATTTCATGCGTCAAAATGTGTCACTTTTTTCAGCTTTCTGTTGTTATACACGTTTAATGATCAATGAATTCATACATAGCATTTTTTACAAGTGTTTAACTTTAAAAAAAACATTACCTTGTTTCAAAATGTTTTGAAGCACTGAAAATCCTTTCTCATCAACATGATTTGGATTTGCGCCGTGCTGCAAAAGAATTCGAACATTCTCTTCTGTTCGAAATGGACCTGTGCATGCATTAGTAAGCAGGGAAGTTTCACCGTCTTTGTAAAAATTAGCATTGGCACCTTTCTCTAAAAGGAGTAAAAGATCTTTCTTTTCATTTTTGCTGCACTTCAAAATGAAATCCAACGTAGAAAAATTATAATGTTTTTCAATATCTTCTACGGTGATCTCTGCATCCAAGACACCATATAACTGATCTGTGAATAAAAGTACATGTGGCTGTGTTTTAGAATAATGTGGAGTGATAGTAAAAAGTAATACTGAACATATAAGAATCTTATTATTAAATTTGTTAAGGTTGTTACATGTAAGATTTATGAGTTTGTTTATATATTGCTGAAATTTTGATTAGGGTTTGGGTGTCCAAAATGTTCGTGGTTAATTGTGTATTTTGTCATTTTAAATGATTTTAAATACATGTATATCTTGTATACCAAAATATTTGCCATAACATCCCAAGTCAAATAAGTTCTTTTTTTCAATATTTGAATGTGAAGTGAATGAAAAAATCACACTTATAAAAAGTTATGAAGACCTTTTATCGAAACCTTTTAAGACATCCCGTATATATGGCGATACTTTGATTTTCCCTTATCTAAACCAGGGGAAGTGGAGGGTGCTGTCAAAACGTCTTTATTATATCAATTAAAACCAAATTGCTTGAGGTTTGATGAATTATAACATTCATGCGTTTAACTTCATTTATACGAACATTTTTCTTCATGAAGAATTGACAAATCAATTGAAAACATACATTGTTGTGTGGCCTTAGCCGTAAAGCACAACTTTACAAGAATGACGATTTACAGTATCCCGAAGCTTCATAGTAGGTACATATGTATATAAATTTCTAAGAAAATCTTTTTATCTGTAAAACTTTGTTACTGTATTGTCATCCCTCCTTACATTAACAAAACCGTAATCCTGGTGGTTTTTTAGGATAAAAATTGACTTGATCATGCTTGAAAGGTTATATCAGGAACCAGTTTTGTTTTTCTTCAGAAGATATTTTGAATTTCTTTCATTAACATAACAATGTAAACTTTTCAAGAATCCTCTAGTATCCACCCAGCCCATGGGTCGTGATTTGTTTAACAGCTGGGAAATTTTGCAGAATAATTTGACATGTTTTGAATGAAATTGGACAAGTATCACAGGAGAAGCTCAAATAGAGAAATATTAGAAATTAAGAACAGAAAAGCTAAATACTAGACAATAAAACTCTCTGATCAGACATAATCATGTAAAACAAACGAGTCAAACCTATTGTTTTTAACATGGAGAAAACTGTTCTTCCAGACTTGTCTATCCAGCTTAAATTTGCTCCAGCGCGTACAATTCCTTCTATCGTCTTTCGGTCTGCAAAATTTTTAAATGCCAGCATCAGAACTGACTGTCCATTTTTATCGTATACATCATTTGCATTTCCTCCTCTTTTAAGTAAATTCGGAAGAAGAGATGGTATTTGTATCGCTGAGAGGCAGGTACAACTGATAGTTCCTAACTGAGTACTTTTACCAACAAATGTAACGTCGGCTCCCTGCCCAATAAGATAATCTGCAAGTCGTTTTTTGCCAATTTCAATAGCTTGAAAAAGAAAAGAAACGCCCTCTGGTGATGTTCTATTTATGTTAACTTTTCCACTGCTAAGTAACACACTTATTACTTTGATATTATTTGTTTCTGACGAACTCAATAAAAAATACCAAAATTGGCTATTGAGAACAGTTTCACTTTTGTCAAATTCCTCCAGAGTTAACAAAAATTTCACAACATCAGCTTGTCCAGCTTTGCATGCGACGTGGAATATGTTATTACATTTTTCAAGATCTAGACAGTCCGCACCTTGTTCCTGTACTATGAAGCGGAGTCCTTCAACAAAACCTTGTTCTGATGCCATACGGACGATTGTGCGAATATGATAAGGTTTTATGTTCACATTTTGATTCCATGTCTTTCGAAAATTGTCGATATCTTTCTCACAAATACATTTATAGAATATATGCATCCAAATTTGTCCGCTCATGTTTACACGGTAGAATTTGTTAGTTGTATGTGTGTCTACGTGAACAGGTGCATATTGACAACACCGTTATGTAATCTTTTAAAATGCACTTGAGTATTGAATTTCTTTTCCCCGTTAAAAAGTATATTTAAACAGCCCGTGGAAATTTGTTATTCAATCTGAACATATTTCGAAGTCATAGGCGGAAATTGTTATTTTGCTTAGCTCCCTTTCTGCAGTTGCACAATTTTTCATCGGTTGTTAATAATGTACATGTATATATGCTATCTCAATTCAGTCTGGAAATATTTGACTAAGGTGACCTCCATGGTCAATCAAACTCTTATCAAGATCTAGAGATAAAAAAAGATTGTCTTTTTTGTTCCCAATAAAATGTTCATACAGAATAAAATTAATAATGTTTCACATTTCATTACCCACACTGTTTAAGCTTCAAATCTGATTCTGGCAATCAGGTCATTCCAAGTTTTTTCTATGTTTAGCGTCCGCGTGCACCTTGGTTTTTGAACCCAATATCAGAAAAAAAAACAAAATCAGGAGACCCGAAATTGATTATTCTAGTCGAAATCTTTGAATTCTATCATTTCCTGTAATGATCTGTCTACAATTTTTCATATTTGGTATATTTTAAGCATTTAGTACCTTGATTTTGTTAAAGTATAGATCTAGAAAGGAGAAAAATATATTTTTTTGAAATCAAATCATTTGATTCACATTACTTTTATTACTATGAAGTCTGTTTTCTTTTTTGGTCTGTGTGTTTTTTGCGAATAGCTAGGTAGGTTATTGAAAGATGGGTGGACGCTAAACATAGAAAAAAAACTTGGAATGGCCTCACCTGCAATTTATTTTAACGTATTTTTCAAAATACGTTTCTCTCTCCCCTCCCCCGAAAATATATTACAATTCTTTGGAAAACATCCACTTCCTAAGGCTAGGTCGAACAATCATATCTTTTTAATATCAGTAAACTCTTTAAAATTGTTCTGTATTTATGTATCTTTTATATCACTACAGAACTACCCTACCTAATTTATTTACATCTTAAGACAGAAGAATGGACAACTTTACCTTTGCATAAGCTCTTGTCTTTTCTTTTATCTATTCAGTGATGAAGGAAAACTTTTAAAAAACAAATTATGCTCAGGTTATAGCCAATAAAGAATTTATGGTTTGCCAAATACTAAAGCTAAAGCAAGATTAAAACAGTATTTAATCTTTATATTAATGCAATAAGTATTTTGATAGTCCAGTTACCCATTAAATTGCTTATTTCTTTCCATCACTAAAACATCGTTCATTGAATAAAAAGTCTGTAAAACTGTTTGCCATGTGTTGCCACCTTTGTGATGTTTAATAGTTTGTTTGAAATTCTCAAAAGTATTATTAACAATGCAATATAATTTTAACAGACACAAAATAAAGATACATGTATGAAAGATAATCCAATTTTGTAAAGAGAGATAATCCAAATTTCCAGTAATTAAAACTAAGACTTAACAGAAAAATCATGAAAATTGGTCTAAAAACGCCACTAACTTATCATACAATCTACAATAGAATAATACAAAAAATATTACAGAAATACGGTGTCTTAAAAATCTAATTGAAAAGGATAGGTTCACAAAGATATCAAAATTAATTAGTTTAGATAATTAATGTAAGAGAAATTGCAATCCCACAATCCCACCAAAGTTATACCAAGTAAATGTACATTTATCCCAATCTTGAAGCACATTAACACTTTACAAATGAAATTTTGATTTGGGCAAAACACATTATAAACCATTTTGATACACCACTAAATGAAGTTTCTCAAAAAGGAGGCTATTACTAATTGCAGCAACTGGAGAGAGACTGTTTTATCAAATATCTCAAAAGCGGGAGAAATGAAAACTTATGATTTAAAAAAAAAAACAACACTTTCTAGCTTTTTAAGTAATTGAAAGCAAATTAATATACAAAACTTCACCTATCACAATGTGCATGCCAAATGGCAAGAAACACAACTATAGAATTTGTAACAATTTTTGCCGCGCAAACATTCCACATTCATGTTCATGACTTATGGTTAGTTAATTTTGAACATTGAACTGCGTTGTTTATATTATAAATTAATAGGCTTAAAGTTCATTTACATGTGTTTTCTTTTATCAAAAAAAGGTTCATGTAAGCCAAAAAGAATCAAATCGATATTCTTATGTGACGTTACCGCAACGTTGACGTCAAAGCATGAAGACAAAATATGTGTTATCGGATTTCAATTTTTATCACGATCATTTTATGTCAAAGAGTGCTGGGAAGTTCTGTCAGAACAATTTTCCACATTTGTACTTTGTTGCTGAATAAAGCCAATCTTTTGAACAGAAACATCCTTAATAGAAATATTGTTTTTCTTCGCATCGTGTTAAAGAAATACCTAACGTCTTCATGGAAAGAAATCCTGAGTATAATTTCTTTATTTCGAATTTCCTGAGAATGTAGCTCCATTCTATTACTTTAACGATAAAAATGTTATTAAATATGTTATCTCATATTTCTAATTATTGTCTAGAGGAAATTTTTGACATAAAGTAGCGAAGAACGGGCATTTCCAAAAGATCATAAATCAGCTATGTTATTTTCAATCATTTTAAAATAAACAAATGTGCCATTATGGCAGTATAGAGAATATTTAAAATATTACAACTGCTTAAGTACAATATTTAAAATATGACAACTGCTGTCATTTTTAAATCTTGTATTTACTGCCAACTGCAAAATTTTATATTTTATATCTATATTTTCACAGATAATTAGGGCATCATTGGGAAAGTACTCAGACAGTGTCAACCAAAACGTACTCGTGTGTCCATATTTTGGTCAGATGGTCAGAATCCATCATTCGGTGAGTAAATAACTTGCCAAATAAAGCCATAACAATGTTTTTAATGCCAAATGCCATATCCTATACTCATATACAATGATAAGAGGCCCAGGGCTTCAAAGATCAATGGATTCCTTTGCTAGATACTGTTCTTTATGAGAAGAATGAAAAAAGAAAGTTTTCGAAATATTGCCATAAAATATTAGACCCTGTATTATTGTCTCTTCCTACCCCAAAGTTGAATTCCTACTGCATGGGGATACTGAATGTCAACATGACATATGTTTTCCTATATATACTACCATAATGAAAATATTCTGCTTTAAGCCCCACCCTACCCCTAACATCCATAATTTTAACAAACGTGAATACACATGAATTAGAAATGTTTGTTCATCAACGATTTAGTGTTACCATGCTAGCCTTTAATACTTTCTTTTTAATTTTCTATATTCCCATGTAAACTTTTAATCCCTGTTCTAGTCTTACCTTGGTCCCAGTGACCATTATTTCTTTTCCGTGCCTTGTAGTATGCATTTGGCCATTCAACAAATGACATAACTTACAGCAGTCACTGGCAGTAAACTGAGTTCACCTCCAATTACTTCACCCCGGGAACCTGAATCTGAACTACCTAAGGGTGCATATGTTTGCTTGATAATATGATTAGTCAAGGCCTGTTGTTCTTAAAAAGATTTTAAAAGAATTTATCCCTTCAAAAATGATGCCTATTCTAATTCAAGCTACTCTACACAGAGGCCATGATTTGAACATATTTGAATCTACACTACCTTAGAATGCTTGCATATTTATTTTACTAAACGTTGTTCTGCTATTTTTGAGAAGACGGTTTTGAAGATTTTTAATCCTGTTCATTCTCATGTAAAACTTAAATCCCTTATATAAATTTCTGAAAAAATGATATGCTTCAATAAACTCGTTTATTTAAACCACAATGACACGTTCCAATTAAAAGAAGACCGTGGAGCATAGTGGTTAACGCGTTTAACCTTGTGCCTTACCGGGAGCTTTGGATAGAGTTCTTATCATATGTGAGGGGTTCTTTTTTTCCACATACCTTAAAAACATAATTAAAAGTAAACTATTTATCAGTAAGTAATTCAAATAAAGGACTTAAATCTCTTATTTTAAAAGGGCCAAAATTTAGGGAACCCCGATCTTTCAATCGGAATCATAATTTCATAAATATTATGAAATCTGTGGAACATTACGCCAGAAGATGGGCCAAACATGAAAAAGAAAATCTTGACACTTTGTCAGAATGGAATAAATGTATCAGATGTATGTTAAAATCTCGCATTAAGTGATTGAGGGGCAAAATGAAAACCATCTATCCTACTGTGTTCAATAATTCAGAAGTGAAAAAGGAATTAGATAGACTACACCATCAGTATGTAATGGTCCCAGCTGACAAAGCAGGTAACAACATTGTCTTTGTAAGGCTCATTATTTTAATTGTATTTTAGAAGACTTTGGATTGAATTCTACAAGTGGCAATCCAACTTATACCCATATCTCCCTTTCTAAGGAGGACATTCTTCAAAATCACATGTCAGTTTTGAATATTTTTAATATTCCCAACAACCAAAATAAATTTGAATAACCATATTTATATTGGATTCCGAGACTTCATAAAAATCCTTCCAAACATACATACATAGATACAAAGCGGGTTCAAGTAAATGTTCTACCAAGCCTCTTTCTTTACTCCTCACAAAAATATTACCAGAAATGAAGGAGAAACTTCGGGAGTACTGTACAATAATATATTCGAGAAGTGGTGTAAATCGGATGTGGATATTTAAAAATTCCAAGGAACTTTTGGAAAATTTGAAATCACAGAATGATATCAAAAAAAAAAAAACAAAACAAAAAACTTACGACTTTTCACCTCTGTATGCAACTATTCTCCACGATAAATTAAAGTCCAGGCTTTTTGACATCATTGACAGCTGCTTTTTCAATAAAAATAGAACTCGTAAATATA